GAGAGAGAGAGAGAGAGAGAGAGAGAGAGAGAGAGAGAGAGAGAGAGAGAGAGAGAGAGAGAGAGAGACTCTGTCTTCATCTCTCTCTCTCTCTCTGTGCATCTGGCCTCTTCATGAAATTCCTCCCTCGCTTACCTTGAGTTTCTTACCCTTTGATGTCACAGTTCATTCTTTCTCTGCCTTTATTTGCCCGTTGCACGTGAATGCATGTGACAATTTTTCCAATCCTCCAACAACGCCAACTTGTGTCGCCTTTAACATGAGCATGGCCTTCTCTATTTTTGGTTTGCCACCCACCCTTTGGCTCTCCCACCAAGTCACTGCATCATCCGCCAAGTCAATTGTATTATCCACCAAGTCTCTGCATTTTCTATTTTCCGTGACTGACAGTATATGTCTTGTTAAGTTGGGTTAACAGAATTTGCTTTTGATTTCTCAAACATGGATACCTTCTCTTTTTTGGTCGGCGGCCACATTGACTTGCTACTCTATCAATTCCTCAATGGTCAAATAAGATTCCCCCCACGAACACGGGCGAAGCTGCACAGGCTCTTTTTGTCAGAATTAAAAATCACCAAAGTTGGGGTAGACAGAATTTTGCACACTCCCCTGGGAGCCCCCTTGGGTGCTGTAGGCCAAGCCTTCCATTCCTATTTCGAGTATATACATCCACAAGTTTTGGAGGAGAGGGGTGTGCACTGGTGGTGTAATTTTTCTTTTCAGTCTTTCTTGTGTTGCTGTCCTCGTTCAGCACACCTTTTTAATGGTTTACATCAAATTACATGTTTTTCTGGAAGTTCTTCGGTTTCCCTTCGTCCCTTCTCCGTTCCCTGTGCTGCCTGCCTTTGCCTTTGATTTTCTAAGTTTACCGCCTGATGAGTGAACAAATTAATTTTTTTTTTTTTTCCATTACTGATTAGTTAATAAATTAATATGGTGTCCACTCTACAAATAGGTAACAAGTTTGGTTAAAATGGCCTTTGGGTCTTGTTAAAATGGCATGACAAATAGTCTGAAAATTAGGCCTCCGTTAACCATCTCACACTGCATGAATAAGAGAAACAGCATGCAGCAAAAGTGCGCTTTCATGCGGATTTTGCCAACCTTCCAATTTCAGAAAATTTGAGAAGCACACACAATGTATGCACACACAGAACACACTCGCACTGTCTGTTAGATTGCAAGGTTGGTTCGAGTAAAGGCGACCACTTCTCTCAGGGATGTCGAGAACTCTGGTTGACGTGGTGAGTCCTTACCCATCGGTCAAATGGATCCTGGGGGGACTGTCGGGCTTCAACCTCCTGATGTTGGTGAAAGACTGACGAAAGAGTGTGGCCGTCTTTGTGAAGTTGTTTACAGGGAACGTAATACAGTCATGATTTTTTTTAATGGAGATGTGTATGTGCAGAGTCATGCGTTTTTTGTGGAGTTGTGTATAGCGAACATGACGATTCACATCATGCCCTTGCTAAGATCTCAGTTCAGGCGGATCAGTGTGGCTAGAGTCGGGACCGTACTACCTAAGGTGGTGGTCATGCCATTGGGTATCCATGCCTGCGTGGGTGTGTAGAGTGGGTTTTATGGCAGCGACAGGATTGGTTTTGCAGGCTTACTGCCGTCCTTGTCAGGCTTGGACTGACAGTCTGCTAGGCTTGGAGGGCTGGTGTGAGTAAACTCAACCGCTTTTCTCAGGGGTATCCATGCCTCTGGGCAACGCGACGAGTCCTTATCCATCAGTCGAATGGATCCTGCAGATTGTCGAAATGAAATCTCCTGACAATCGGTGAAAGTCCGGCGAAAAAGTCTGGCACGGTCATGCTTTTAGTGTGGAGTTTGTGTATAGCGAACATGAGAATACACACATTCCGCGGTTCGGATCGGGATCGTATTAGCGAGCTATTCTTTTTTGTGGTTGGTTATGCCTTGTTGTTTTGTTTATTATACATGGCCTAATTCTTTGCCCTGCCTTAGAGCATGGGCTTTTTTTTGAGGGAATGTCTGCGGGTGGCCACATGTTTTTTGGTCTCGGAATGTATGCTTCGAGTTCTGGGCACAGTATTTTCATGAGGAGGCTTGGAGAGTGTTTGCTGTGGGTGTAACGGGGAATTCCAGGGATTTTTAAGCAGTAGTGCTCCTGGTGTCGTGTGAAGATCTTGTCGACTTCGGGATTATGGTACTCTACACAATCCAGATGCTGGATAGCAAATAGGGGATGTCTAGCCAGGGAGTGAAAGAGAAGGTGGTGACATGAGCGCGTCGTTTGGGATGAATAGCGGTGTCAGTTTTGTTGTGCTTGTGGGCCGACTTGGAGGGCTCTCCAAGTTACTTCGGACTATTGGTGGGTCTGGTCGGTACTTTCTTGCCGGTGGAGCCTTCTTGAGTTATGTATGTTGCCTTTTGCCCTTCACCTTTTTTATAAATTTAGATCGAAAAAATTATGTATATTGCGACTGCCGCCGTATGTGCGGAAGGGTGTCTAACATTTCCTTGTGCACATCCCTATCACCCAGATGTACGTTGTCCTTTCTGTTCCCAAGGATGCTATCAGAACTGCATGATGCCGCACTGTGACGAACGTCCTGCTGTTTTCTTGACATGTGGGCAACATGTCCTATGTCGGGATTGTTTCGATGGGATGGTTCGTGCTAGCCGTCCGGCTGAATGCTGCACTAATGCAACTCTCCTTGGGTATCCCTGTGAACATCCCCGTCATCCTCACCGTAGTTGTCCTATCTGCCGAGGGGGTGACAGATGAAGTGTAGAAGAAACAGATAAAAAAAGAAACCGAGTAAAAAGATAAAAAAGAAACCGAGGAAAGAAAAACACAAAAAAAGAAACCTGAGAAAAAAGAAAAAAGAAAAAAGAGAAAAGAAAAATATGTTCTGTGGGATGGTAATTGGATTATCTGTGGGACGTGTCACTTGCTTCGTCTGTTTAATAGGCTTTCTTCTTCTGTGAGGTTTGGTTTCCTCCGCCTTTTCTTTACCTTTTTGCCTTTTGGCTGCGTGCAAGTGGGTCTTTATGACACACGGGGATGGGGGCACCGCCTTTTCTTTACCTTTTTGCCTTTTGGCTGCGTGCAAGTGGGTCTTTATGACACACGGGGATGGGGGCAGCCAGCGCTCAACCTGTCATCCACGTGGCTGGCCTTGTACGTAAGAGGTGACAAACAGGTAGGGCTTTCCTTCCTTACTTCTTTTTCTTTTTCTTGTTTTGTCTTTTTCCGCCTTTGCGCTCCGATTTCCAATGTGACAATATCTTCTTTTCTTCTTCTTTTTTTCGCTTCTGCGCTCTGATTCACAGTGTGACAATATATATATATATATTCAGCCTCCTGATGAGTCGGTGAAACTCCGACGAAACAGTTTGTCACAGCCCCTCGTTTGTTGTCCTCTTCTCCCTCTCTGCCTACGGTTTACCGGGCAGTTCTATTTGACGATATATATGTGCAAGTGTGCTGCTTCGGTGGGAGACCAGTGTGTGGGCACTTCCCGCTCAACCACACAAGCGTGGGGAACCATGCACCTTCTATTTTGTTGCCCACCTATGCTTTTTTTTGTTCTGTGGATGGTTTATGATGATTTGTGGATGGAATGGGAGAGTGAATTCGGGTGTTTATAGAACACACACACACACACACACACACACACACACACACACACACACACACACACACATTTGCGGTCGGCTTGCCTCTGTGTTCCTTGCCTGTGGGAGCCATGTTGCCTGTGATATCTGTTTACGTCGTGCCATTCGTTGCAGCAACTGGAACTGCGAGGATGCGAAGCTTCCACAGTCCGCACCCAAATCGGTGCTGTCCGGTCTGCAGGAGTGGTCACCTACCATAGTCAACAGCTACTCCTCATCCTGCAACCAAAACACTGATTGATTTCTCGTGTCATTCTATAGTCGTCTGCTCCAACGGTGTCTATAAAGAACCTATTGAACTCTCTCTCTCTCTCTCTCTCTCTCTCTAATTTTCTCGTCCTCCTCCCTGTTGTCTACTCCCTCTCCTTGTGTACTACTAGTAAACGCATATGAATGAGCGTCGTTGAGAGAACAGACAAAATATAATTACCCTTTTACTCTGCCTCCTTTTATAACGTGCAAGTGGGCCGTAAAGGCACACGGGGATATGGGCGGCTTGCGCTCAACCATCATCAACGTGGCCAGCCTTGTACGTGATAGGCACAGAAAGAGGGTAACTGCAAAAACAAAGAACACGGGAGGCCTCCCAATGCTGGCTGATGAAAAAATAATCAAGAAAACGATGTAACACTCCAACAAATGTACTGTCTCGTATTCTTTTTGCTGTTGGGATGACCCATCTCGAGTGTGTTGCATTGCTTGTGTAAAGGTGAGATTCGTTGTCTGATTAAAGGTAAGGTTCTGAATAGATATTGACTTCACAGGCAAACTGTCTCATTGGTGGATTGGCTCATCTCGAGCATGCTTCATTGTCTGCAATATAGGTAAAGTTGCTATGACTTTGGATCTACTCATCTGGGCGGAATAGAGGAAGTTGTGGTGATGATTTGTAACACACACACACACACACACACACGCACACACGCACACACGCACACGCACGCACACACACACACACACACACACACACACACACACACACACACACACACAGAGCACCCAACC